TTGCATGGCTTTGCTGAAGGCTGGGATTTGTGACCTGTGGATCCAGGAACACAGCATATCCAAGTGATTGGGTGAACCCATAGCATTGTCTCCGTCACACCAAGCACAATCAGGAAGTGTGATGCTGCCAGTAAAGAAGGCTATAGGAGCTACAGGACATCAGACAGTGAACCAATGAATGCATTATGAAAGTTTCAGAAGGAGGAGAAGAGAAAGGGGTAGAAAACTTATTTAAAGAAATTATGATGGAAAACTCCTCAAAGATCTATATTCATGTAGCTCAAAAAACTCCAAATAGGTTGACCATAAAGATATTCTTCTCTGAGACATATTATGACAAAATCATCAAAAGTTTTGAAAACAGCAGGAAAATCCTCACTTACAAGGGAACCTCTATAAGACTGTCAGCAGATTTATCAGCAGAAATATTGCAGGCCAGGAAAAGATTAGGTGATAACTTCAAAATGCTGAAAAGAAAAGCTGCAAACAAGAATAATATACATTGCAAAGCAGCCCTTCAGAAATGAAGAAATAAAGAATTCACAGACAAAAGCTGAGGGAGTTCCTCACCATCATACCTACCCTATACAAGATGTTAGAGAAATGAAAGGACGCTAATTAGCAACATAAAGATGTATGAATGTATAAAATATCTGGTAAAGGTAAGTGCATAGAACAATTTAGAAATCTGTATTACTATAATGGTGAATTATAAACTTTGAACTTTAGTATAAAATTTAAAAAGATGAAAGTATTAACTGTACAGGCTGTTTTTCAATTTACCTAATATAAAAATATGCAAATTGTGATCTTCACACAAAATAGCTAAAAGTAAAAGCAAATGAAGTTTAAATGCAATTAAAATTAAGTCATTAACTTAAAATAGACATAAGTTTTTTGTTTTGGTTTTGGTACCAGGGATTGAACTTGGGACGTTGCTCTTGCCAGGCAGGCAGCAAAACCACAAGGCTAAATCCCCAGCCCTAATTATAAGATTTTTATGTAAGCATGTTGGCAATCACAAAGAAAAAGCTAAAAGTTAGTGTTTTTAAAAGGATGAGCAAAATGACAAACATTTTAACTAAAATAAGAAGAGAGAACACTCCAATACAATTATAAATTAAAAGGAAACATTACAAATGGTAACATAGAAATACAAGAAGATCATAAGAGATTACCATGTACAGTTATGAACAAACTGTACAACATAGAATAAATGGATAAATTCCTAGGAACATACTCCTACCAAGATTGAGCCATGAAAAAAGAGAAAATCTAAATAGATCAATAATGAGTAAAAAAATTGAATTAGTAATCTAAAAGCTTCCCAAAAGGAAAAGCCCAGCACCAGAGAGCTTCACCAAAAATAAAACAAAAAACCCTGACTAATAGACTTCCAAATTCATTGTATGAGGCTACCATTATCTTGATACCAAAACCAGACAAGAATACTAAAATAAAATTACAGGCCAATGTTCTTAACCCATAAATTCAGAAACCCTCAACAAACTTCCAGCTAACTGAATGTAATAACACATTAAAAGTATGATACAGTATGGCCAGTTGAGATTTATTCCCAAAATGTAGGATGTTTCCCTACACCGCTGCAGTTCCTCAGACCAGAGGGTCTAGACCAACAACCTTGGCAGGACACAAGCTCTTGTGCCCCTCTCTGGCTATGCAGAGCAACAAAACTGTTGCGCTGTGGTTGCCCCAACCTGGAGACCCAGAGCAACAGCCTACCACTCGTCTGTCTCCTCTCCCTAGGGACACCTGAACTGATCCTGCCTCAGTCTCCTCGACTCAATGTCCCACCTTGGTGGACCCCCAAACTTCATCCAGCTCGGCTTTGCACGCGTTTTGAGCTAGCGACAGAGCACAACTTCTACACATATGACACAAACAGTCCCAAGGCCCCTGCTGCCTCCCACGCCCCAGGCTGACCGAGGTGCAGTGTGTCATCAGACCAGCCTGCAGCCGTCTCTGCGCACACATCTCCAGCCCAGCTGCCCCACAGTTAGGCACATGGCCTGACATGGGGCATCACACACTTCCAGATTTCAAACTGTATCACATGTACAAAAAGCAATTCAAAACTGATCATAGACTTAAGATATAACACAACAAAATTTCTCATAGAAAATGTAGGGACTAGCTCTCTGACATTTATCTTATTCATAATGTTTTTGGCAACAAAAGCAATGTCTAAACTACATTAGGAGTTCATACAACTCAGTAACCAAAAACAAAAATCTGATTTTAAAGTGGATAAAAAACCCAATAGACATTTTTAGAAAGAAAATACAGAAAAGCTAACAGGTATAATAAAAACTGCTCAACATCACTCATCATGCAGGGAAGTGGAAATCAAAACCATAGGGGATAGAGGAATGCTCCATTACCTGTGGCTTTGGTCTCCAGTATCAGTAACCTATGATTCACTGTGACCTGAAAATACTGTTACCATACCAGAAACAAATTCATACTTTTTACCTATGCACCATTACAAATAGCATGATGAAGTCTTGCTACATCACACAGGGGACATCAACCGCCCTTTTCTGCAGTGTATCCATGTGGTTCGTACTACCTAACCCCTCAGTCACCTGGCAGCCATTTTGAACTTAGTGCCGTTTCATTACTTGTGTCCAAGCAACACCTATTTTTCTTAATAATGGCCTCAGCATGCCAAAGTAGGAATGCTAGTAATTCAGACATGCCAAAAAGACAAGGTAAAGTGTTTTGTCTAAGTAAAAGATAAAAGTTTTCAACTTGATAAGGAAAACAGAAAAAAATCAAATCACGTGCTGAGGTTGCTATGATCTGTGGTAAAAGCAAATCTGTGAAATTGTGAAGAAAGAAAATGAAATGGTGCTAGTTTCACTGTCACACTGTAAACTGCAAAAGTTATGGCCACAGTGCAGTACTTAGTTAAGCTGGAAAAGGTATGAAACATATGTATGAGGAAAAACATGGTGTATAAATGATTCAGTACTCTGTGATTTCAAGTACAGAATTCACTAGGGGTCAAAAAACACTTCCCTTGTGCATAAGGACAGACTGTTTTATCAGTTCACACCTAATAAGGTAGTTATTACCAAAAATACAAGAGAGAAATATTAGTGAGGATTGAGAGAAGAGGGAACCCTGAACACTCTTGGAAGGAATGTAAATTGGTACAGGTATTATGCAAAACAGTATGGAAAAACTACTGATATAAAACAAGTACAAGCATCAAGAAGTGCAGGTACCATAATGAGGTTAATATACCAAATTTAAATACATCTAAGTGCAATGTTTGTCTCTTTGGCCCATTTGTATGAGTGGGTTAACAGTATTTAAAAAATTTAAAGATGTACAGTAAGAAAATAACCTAATATACAGAGTCCACCAAAAAAATGTATACACATTTCAGCTTCTACAATTACAAGAGGTGCTCCAAGTGGTGGCTCTTAGCTTCCAGACATTTATTAGTACAGCAAACTACTGCTTAGGTAACCTTAGTCATTGAGATTGCTGCACATACATGTTCAATTTCTTCTCTAAGGGCTGACAGGGTAGTAGGTTTTCTGCAATATACAACATCCTCTCGGGACCCCCACACAAGGATAACACTACCTATTGAAAAAACATCATACCATTTCTCTTTTCCTAAAGTGTGTCTACACTGTTTTTGGCAGACTCTGTACATAAAGGTTTGTTTCAGGTTTGCCTGTAATGTAGGAAAACTGGAAATGCATTAACAGTATGCACTTAAAAAAGTTGTATAGTCATAAAGTACCATGCTGCCAATAATAAGACCTAGGCACACAATTATTACTAAGGAAAAGTGATCATGATGTATATACTCTGATTTGTGTGAATGAACATGTATATGAATATCTATATGTGTGCATGGGCAAAACTGGAAAGATATAATGTGAATGTTGACAGCAGTAGCTATTTCAATGTTGTGGGATAAAAGGTATTTTTTGTTTCCTCTTATAACTACATGCATTCTTAAAGTTGTCTGCACTCCACCTGTATTACTTTAATAATCAGAAAAAGAAAGCTATTTGAACTTTTTGTTCAAACTTGTGTTGTTAAGGCTAGAAAGTCATGGATATATCTTACAGTAAGAGGCAAACTTTGCTTGGCTTTTTAAAAGATAAAACCAAACTTGAAGCAAGTTGTACAACAGGCTTCTGGGTATACAACTGTGAGAGCCCAGTGCCAGGCCAGGCTGAAGGGGCCATCTGCTGGTCTATCCACGCCGTCCCATGCAGAGGGGACCCTGCTCAGTAGCTGACACCACTAGCCACACTGTAACCTCAGACGCTTCTGGCTCTCTGCTGGGCCACAGTCATGGCTGCTCCTCTATAGCAGCTGTCCGCTGACGCAAGCACCATGCAAATTGCTCAAAAGAAATCAAATATAAATTGCTGACTTGTTTATTACTAAACCAGAGCTTCATGGATACCTCTTAGTGAACTTCAGTTACTGTTTATTTCCCAAGCAAGTTACCAAAACATACTTCAGACATTCAGAAAGGCTCTAGGTTCATTTGCTTCATAAATTTCTACTGTGGCAGCTAACGGTGTATAGAAAAGGTCCAATTTGTGAATTTATGTAAACAAACACCTATGAAGAGAGGCAGTGTAGAATGGTGAAGGCCATGAGCCTGGTTGGAGGCCATCTGGGTGAAAACCCCAGCTCTGCTCATTATAAAGTGTTGACACTGGACAAGTTACTCAGCTTTTCTGCATCTCAGTTCCCTGAACTGGAAAACAGGCATCAGGGTCAGGTTTAGCTCAGGGGGTGCTTTCTTTATAAGGATCAAATGGGTTTGTTCATGTAAAGTGCCTGGTAGACCACCTGGTACATACACACCAGGTCTTCCATAAACGATAGCCAGTATTGTTATTTTACTGCAGACACAAGATGTGCAACTGTTTTGGATAAGGTGTGTGTGTGTGTGTGTGTGTGTGTGTGTGTGTGTGTGTGTGTGTGTGTGTGTGTGTGTGTGTGTGTGTTTGTGTGCACGAACTTGTAGCTGGCTGGCAGGAAAGCACATTGTCACAAATTTGCTGACCACCATGGACCCAGAAGACTGGGAAAACTAGTTTAATCACCTGGTTTAGGAGCAGTTGTTACAAGTGCCAATGATGAAGACAAATGGGCGGTGGGGGGCATCAAACAACCTGAGTTCAAACTCTGCCTCTGCCACTACTGAGTTGTTGATCCTGGAAGCCATCTGATGAGTCTCCTTTACAAAAGAGGAACAATACTTTGTGCCCTAGGATTGCTACTGTCCTGGCTGGGCCAAAGCAAGTGATGTGTGCCTACCCTGGTTCAATGAACCTAGTGGTCACGCATTGTGGACACTCAGCTCAACTCCTGGCCACATTACTTCCTGAGCATCCACAGCACTTTCCTGAGAAACCCACCTGACACTTGATGGCAAGGCTTGAGTTGGGCTCTTTCATAAACAAACTTGAAAGCAGGTAGAAGGCTGTCCATGCTATGGCTGGAATGACTCCATGCATGGTGAAGGCCCTGCTTGTGTCTGCCAGTGTCTTCAGGAACTATCATCGGAGCCTCCAGCTGTGATCCCTCATCATCCAGTGGGCACAGGAGGAATCTGCAATCTTAACAATGCTTAAAAATCGACTCAACATTAAAAATCACCAAGGCCTTTTGCCAACACAGTGGGTCGTATTTATTGGGCTATTCACAGGTAAGCTTAAAACATGAGGAAGAGTGAAAAGACCAGATGCCACCAGTAGTGTCAAGAAACAAAATACTTAGCATTTCTTAGTTTCAAATGTTGCATTCCATTGCAGCTGAACAGTATATAGGCAATTTGCTGACATACTGGCAATGGGTATGATTTATTTTTTAGCAACCAGAAGCAAATACACTTAACCAATGACTTATTAGAACAATAAGCAAAGAAGATAACTATTTGTATGTAGTGAGAACAAGAAAATCATTTACAAATTAAATCGATACAAAATACATTAGAAAGAGAACACACATATAAAAGTCATTAAGTTGGTCAGAGAGCACAGAGGTCACAGAACACCACACAGTGAGAACATCGGTGTGAATTCATTTCAGTCACGAAAGTATGTCCAAAGTTTGAGTTACACATTTACTGAGGTAAAGGCACAATCACTTCCACGTAATTAATAGGAAAGAATCCGGATTCCCCATGTATAATTCCTTCATACCAGTTTTCATCTATTTGATTGGTTAATGTAATGATGTCCCCTTCTTTAAATCCTAATTCTCCTTGGTTTTCTGGCTCGAAATCATAGAGACCACGACAGCAGGGCTGGTCCACGGGAATGTTAGAACCTGTCCGCATGATATGGAGACAAAAAGCACAGGTTAACAATGCAGATTGTCCCTGGGAAGTGGACGAACATCTGGAAGGAAGAGCAGCCCTGACTTCCTGCCCGTGACGGCCCTGGGTCCTCCCCTCTCTCTGGGGTCTGTTTGTGGTCTCTGGCTTCCTCAGCTCCCAGGCTGCCTCAGCTGACCTCCCAGGCTCAGGGTCCATCCCCTGAGTCCTTCTAAGCAAAAGCTTGTCTATGCTAAGCCTGAGTGCTTGGCGAGGCCACCCAGCCTGGCCTAAAGCCCAAGGCAGGTGCAGAAGAATCACAAGGCCCAACTCTAGCCAGTGGAAACGAGGTGGGATGGGGGGAACATCTAAAGGACAGAGCTGAAGTGCTGATCACTTATGACCGACAGCTCCGAGGAGAGCAGATCGAAGAAGCCGCCATGGTCAGAGACATCTTCTTCCGCAACTGGTAACCAGCAGCTGGACTCGGGCAGGATGGGGACAAAAGGAGAGGAGTGAGCCAGGTACGATGAGCAGAATGTTCAGAGACTAGCCCGGTGTCTTGAGGCTATTATATCAAGCCCAGAATTCTCAGAAGAACATTTGAAACAGTGTTTTGTACTGCTCCTACAACGTGGCAGTTGTGACAGGAGAGGAAAATAAGTGTATACAAGTTTGAAGTCAGCTGTAACCTACTCAGAGACAACCAATGTGAAGCTTTCAGCTTTCAGGCATCTTTGTGAATCTATCTGTGTATATATTTACATATAGCTGTTTTCATTAAAGCATCTCCTTGTATGTACCTTGTAACTATTCTCCCAGATTCCTTTTACTGGCCAGCTGTTAACCATGTCAATATAATACAATTTCTTTAATCTATCATTGGAAATTGGAAGTCCTTCCTTTTTTTTGTTTCTTTCCTTTCTTTTCTTCTCTCTTCCCTTCCCTTTCTTTCCCCTTCCCTCCCTTTCTTCTTTCCTTCTCTTCTCTCTCCCTTTTTCTCTCTCCTCCTTTCTTCCTTCTCTTTCATTCCCTCTTGGCTTTCATAGACAAGTCTTTGGAAAAAAAGCATATATGTTTATCCACGTATACACACATACAAACATGCAATTTTTCTTGAGCATAAATTCCTACACGGGGATCTGATGGTCATATAAAATGATTTTTCCAAGACATTTGACATTTACTTTCAATTTATTATTCTATTATTATTTTATTTTAATAAGATTTTAGGAGCTCCTTGACCCTCTGTCACATTTGATACAAACATTACTGGCCTTTGATCTGTCATTTTGATAAAAACATTCCCAGCTTATCATCATTTATTATTTTTTGTTTCGGGTTTTTTTTTATTTTGTTTTTGCACTTCGTGCTGGTGATGGGTAAGAAATATGGTTTCTATTTTGTTTGGGTACAAATATAGAAAATTAAAACAATATAAGCAGGAAAAAAACTTTTCATTCATTATTTATGAACTAACATAATGTATCAATACTAAACATAGCTAGCTACATTCTAGTGTTTTCATTTAATTTTTTTCATATTAGAACTTTAACTTTTAATCTGTTTGGATGTGGGCAAAAAAGGTAAGGTCTATTGTTTTTAATAATGCTTAGGCAATTATACTAACATAATTTAATGAATAATCCATATTCTCCACTAATTTAAAGTACTACCTTTATTTTTATTACTTATTTAATAATTATAGATACTGGGATCTATTTTATTTTCTATTTTGTTCCACTGATCCATTGTGGCAATAGTTTAAATATTATAAATATCAGTTTAAATATTGTAGCTTTAAAATGATTATTAATAACTAGTAAAGCAATTTCTTAGTCATTACACTTCTCTTTCAAAATTTGTTATCTATTCTCATAAAATAATTTTATCAAGTAAATTTTTCTATCATTGTATCCAGTTTCTCCCACAAAAATCTCATTTCAATTTTTACTACGTCATGCATTTTGAGTATTAATAAGATTAATTTTAGGAGTTTTAAAAAATGACTGATCTCTTAAAGAAACCACACTAGTTCATGTATTATGCTTGTATTATTTGGTTAGATTAAGTCTGTTACTATTTTAAGATTTTTGTATCAGTAATTTAAAAGTGAGATGATTTTATTTTGCATTCTTGTCAGGCTTTATTTTTAAGATTAAATGTTTCTTCACTATTTTCTAAAATATTCATTCTGGAAATTTGGGGTGAAATCACCCCCAAAGTATCCAGGAATTATGAGTTTCTGAACATGGGGCTGGATTCTCTGCTCAGCAGCACTTCCACGGGCCCCATTCCCAGGATAAACCTGGCCAATGAAATCAGATGCCCAGGAAATGGGGCCAGGCATCAGTACAGTTTTAAGTTTCCCAGATCTTCTCAATGTCCAGGGGAGACTGAGCACCACCAATGGATTCTCTCTTTCCTCCATGGTCCTTCCCCAGAGGTTGGAGACCTGGTGAGCTTCAGCTGGTGAGGAAGGGAATGTGGCAGTGGTGAGCGCATTTCTCCCTCTCTCTCCCATTGGTGACCCACAGGCAGCTCAGCCTTAGCCTCTGGTTCCCCCCGAAGTGACCTCTAGTGCACCCCTGACTCTTCCTTCCTCTGGGTAGCTCCTTTCATGAGAAACCCTGTACTTCCCTTAGTCATAATGACGGAGTTGAGGAGCAGAAGGATTTAAATGCTGTAGCTTAGAAATGAATAGGATTCGGTGATCTGGAAGCACAGAGGAATCAAGTGTTTCCAAAAAAGAACCCTTTCACTGTTTCCTTTGGTTACACAGTGCTTCTGAGTGTGGAGGAGCTGGAGGCTGATTACCACAGCAACTCGAACCATGAGTTAGTCAATGACATTAAGTTTCAACTGTCTTAATGTGGCTCATAAAAATAACTAGCATTCTTTGATCATTTCTCCCTCTACCAGTTTTTAAGAGGAGTCAGGTGCCAAGACATAAAGAATCCTCAGGAAACATTTCCTCAAACACAGAATGTAAATGCCAGAAGGAAATTCGGCATCTTTTATGAACCCTCCCCTTCTTGAAGAAGAGATGGCAATGTCTCCAAGAGACCACACCGACAAGACCCCTAGGCTAATAGCCACATCAGAACGAGACTCCAGGCCTCCAGCCCCCATACTGTGACCTACCTTGCTACGTAATCACCTTCTACATAATCTGCAACAATGCAACAACTGTCACGATGTTTGCTGGCTATTGTACTATGAGGCTAACGCTGTCTTCCTCTCCCATTTATTGTACAAGCCACCTGCAATGACCAAAGTCCATACTAAATGGCAGGCAGAGCACTTGTGTAAGCCACCACCTGTGTGTCACACATCAGAGAATAGGCATGGTACGCACCTCTCACTTCACTCTTTCCCAGCAAAGGACCACTGCCACTTTGCCCACCTGGACATTCTGGGAGCAGCACTCACATCACACTCCATCAGCACATAAACCCAAGGCACAGCTTCTCTCCTGAGACCAAAAAGACCCTGAGCCAGAGTTCCCAATTTAAGTAACTCATGTGGCTCTCTGCTCTCCTCTGTGGGCCACAACACCCTGCACGATTTTTAACAGCACAGATGCCTGATGGATTCCCATCCTCCATGGCTCAGATACTGCCCTGAATTACACATGCAGCAGGACAAGATGATACTTGGAAATATCTCCTGTGTACTTCGTATGTTTTGTTGTGGGGCCTCCTGTACCTCGGGAAAGGGCAGAACCTGAAAATGTACAAAGAAGTCGATGTTGAGCTTTAAGTTCCAAAGTGATGCCATTTCAGCTGTGAAAGCCAAGGCTTTTAGGCTTTCACAACAAAGCCAGTGTGTGTGTGTGTGTGTGTGTGTGTGTGTGTGTGTGTGAGAGAGAGAGAGAGAGAGAGAGAGAGAGAGAGAGAGAAACTTCAGGCTCCAAAGAACCAGAGCTTAAGGACTCTGATCCTAGAAATTTTATTATAAGCCATGGAGAAGGAAGGACAGTTTCCTGCCACTCTCAGAGGATATATATGCTCTTCTGGAGGGGATGGGGTGAGAAAGAGCTGGACCTCACCCTGGGGGAGGTGGTCTTAAGCCCCACGTCCCACTGGAGCTCTGGAAAGGCAGGTTACCCAACTGTTCTAAACTAGAAAGGAGGATCAAGACAGGTGAAATGTTGGGGTGGTCTAATTAAGCAGGGCAGGATCCCCATGAACTGTGAACAAATCTCATGTATCAGCTGATGGTATTAAGGTTTGGATCAAAAGCAGTCCCCAAAAGGCTCATATATTCAAAAGTGGGGCTTTCAGAAGGTGATGGATCACTGGAGTGCCAACCTCATCGATCCCACAGCTGAAGGTGCTATTAGGAGGTGGAGCCTGGCTAGAGCAGGTGGGTCACTAAGGTGTGACCTGGAAGGGTGTGTTCTTTTTCTTTGGCCCCTTCCACTCTCTCTGGCTCTTTCCTTCTCTCAGTCTGCTTCCTGGCTGCCATGAGGTGAGCAGCTTTTCTCTACCATGATGTTCTGGCCTTGGGGCCAGTGGACCATGGAAACCCCTGAAACTGCAAGCCAAAAGAAACCTATCTTTTGTAGATGTTAGTTGTTCGGTCACAATAATGGAAAGCTGATCAACACCATGAAGAAAAGCTGAGGGTCCAGTTAGGCCAGAGGCTACCTGCAGGCGCGTACACAGGACTCAGGGTCCAGAGACATGGCAACCAGAGGCAGAGAATGGGGCACAGGTCCTGTGACAAGTCACCTCCTCTCCTGTCACAAGGATCCTCCATCAACTCCCTTTGAACCCAGGCAACATCTTAGGGTAAACACATGAGAGGAGAGGAGCTCAGAGAAAACTCAGCCCTGAAAAGAATTTCTGCTCCGAATTTACTGTGTTTAAGTCTTGAATTGACTAAGTAATAAATGGGGATCATCTATACTTTCTATTGGAAGAGACTGAGGTACCATGAAATGGCAAGATTAATTTTTTTCCACCATTAGAAGAAATGGAAAAAAGATTAATTTTTTTTTCTGGCCAAC